TCTCGCAGCGTAAGGCATTGTTCATAGTTTGCGCCACGAGAGGAGGACGCTCGAACCGAACGAATCTGCGCAAATGCGAAATGAATGAAGTGCGTATCGATCCACAAAATGGGAGGGGCTTCGAATCGCGCATTGGAATCTGCGAATCCTCTTGAAAGGAATTAGTGTCTATCGATCAGTCAATCGGAGATCGCAGCATCGAAACGGCGGTGCGAAAATCCTCTAGCAACGCTAATAGGGCGTGGTTTACTACGTCGATACGTATCTAAACCTTTTCGCATCCGCGTTCGCGCGTGCGCGGATTCACCTGGTCGATACGTATCTTTTTCTTTTCGCAGATTCGAATATTCCGATGGTTCCAAAACTATGAACAATGCCCATTTGGCTTAGCCGCCCAACAGAGAGAGCTTCTGTGTTGGTGAGGTGAGCACCGATGAGGCACGCCTAACGTGCGAATCAGTAGGCGAAGGGGTTGCTATTTCTCAGGTCTAGGTTGTTCTTGGTTTTTCTTCATCCCAGCACCACTGACCACCTCTACCTTGATTTTCACTGGACTGTCTTTTCATCGTAAACCCGAGTTTATCTTCGCCTGCAACGCTTTAGAAGCCTCACACTCGCTTCAGTACAGGGAGTCTTATGAATGCTTGCTTTTTCAAGCGGCCTTTTTGCCGTAGCGTAGGTTGTGAGACGTATCGCGCGTGCCGTCGTGAGTGTTGAATGATGTCTCACTTAGCACAATTTGTTAGCACGTTGGCGAACAGGCGATTTTTCGGAGTTCTCGGCAAACACATCCTAACGCCGGAAGCAGCGATGCAGCGAATATACCAAAAGAATTAGAAGTCCATGCGGGAATTACAAAATTTTGCCGCAAGCAGTGGTTAACTGTCTTCAAGCCAAGCAAAATTCCGCTCTCCCAGTCAACGGAGAACTCCTGAAGAACCTCAAAAAATTTCATTTTCTACTCCAGGATCTGTGAATGGGGTTGGATCCAGATGTCTTTTTTTGCCAAAAGTTCTGTCATTATGATAGCTATAACTGTGAGCAAAATTTAGTTCTATCATTGAGAATTACAAGCCTTTTTGAGAAAGCATTTCAAAAAAAACCGTTGTTTCTAGTGGTTTTGTCTTCATCCCTGCACCACTGACCACCTTCACCTTGTTCCCTAATGCGCTGCCATTTCATCGTAAACTCCACCCCAATGAGGTGTCTTTTCATCACACTCTCCCTTCAAAACTTCAGGATATCACCCAGCATCGGGCGACGTTGTCGCTAATGTGTTAACAAGTTGGCGCGATTCAACCTTTTCGGCCACAAGGGACAGGTGCGATTTTGCGAGCGCGATTTCACATCCGCCAATTTTGAGTGATAAAACTATGGAGAACTCGACTAGCGCAGAACCATTTCGACTTCATACAATGCGTAGGGGTATCAGGAGTGCGTGGTGGGATTCCGATTGAAAGAACTTGTAGTGGTAACGAAAAGCAAATTTTTTTCACTAGTAATGGACGTCAAAATATTTTTGGCGTTGTTGAGCCGATAAAAAGGGATGTTTTTTTTGTACGCTTAGGATTGATTTACCTCTGTTATTCATTTTTATTCACATGGTTGTGAAAATGAGAAAAGTGAAGAATGACCGAAGCCGCTGATTTTGTAACCCTCAGAAAACGTTGCTATATTGAGACATGAAGCCACGGTCGCGCGAGAAAAGGGATGTTATGGGTGTGTCGCGCAATGGCGTCACGACGTGTGACGCGCAGGCGCGCCACAATGCCTGACGTGAAGTGCAAAGTGCGACACGCAGCAGCGTCACGCTGCCGTCATTGTGTTGATCAGGTTTGAGCGCGAATCAAGTTCCTGTAACTGCGGAAGGTTGTTGTTCTGAATCGATTCAACGCTTTTTGGTTCCCGGCGGCGTTTAAACAAATCGAGCGCGATACAGTGCTCATTGATGGGTTCTTGAAGGAATCTTTCCCGGGAAAATTTTGCATTCTTTCCCAACACGAATGTGTCAGTTGTGATCACTAGAAACAACACACAAAGTTTCACGCACAAAGATTCAGTTTCCGAAGAGAAACAAACTTACAAAAACACTCTATGGACAATCGAAGGTAAAAGGCGCGGAGCCAAAGGCGGGCATGGAAAGAAGTCCGCCTTGGGGCGGCTACGTATCAGGCGACGCAATGAAAGAATCGGGTTAAAGCGTGCGATTTTGGAGAGTAGAGACAAATCGATCGATAGAATAGGTAGAAGTGTGAGATGTGAATGCAATAAGTCAAAAGGCCAGAAAGAGTTTCTAGTGACGGCACTCCGAAGAACCAAGTGGAAGCATTCCCGTCGCCAGCATTTGTGACAGATGTCCGGCGGTACTTTGAACGCGTAGCAGTCCCTCGGGTTCTTCGAATTCTTTGCCAAACACAATGCGAACTTTTTTGTCTTTTCG